TAAATAAAATAATCTCATCTTTCAAGCCGTCAACTTTTGTACAGATTTTTTTTAAATTCTATTTATTTGATTGAGAATTGTGTTGCCTATTACTCTCCTAGATATAATGGATTTAATATGTTTAATTGTATTATAATTAAAAAGTCTTGTTTTAACATAAAGTTTTTTACTTTATATTTATTTATTTGTACTTAATGATACAGAGACAAGATAAAGGTTTTTTGTTGATTTTTATTAGTTTTATTAATTTTTAAGTTAGAAAAGTAGTTTGAAAATTTTTCTATTGAATTAAAATTATTGAAAGCAATTATATCATCAATGTATCTGTATGCATTTGCAAAAAGTTTTAAACTTGCTCAATCAAGAGATTGCTGAAATTGAAATTCTTTAGTAAACAAGAAGAGGTCAGAAAGTTATATCAAGAAGTTCGTACACATAGGAATGCCATTTATTTGTTTAAAATTGGTTTAATATAATTGTTAAATATTGTGCAATTGAGGTATGATTTCCATTTAGCTACTGTAAAGACTGAAAGCATTTCTGGAAATAAATTTGAAAGTTGAGGTTGACTATTGGAAATTTCTTGAAAAGGAAAAATAGTACACAAGTTTTCAAATCATAACAGTTAATTTCTAGTTCTTTATTAGTAGAAATAATTGTTAAGTTATTATTAATGCTCCAACAAAAATTATCTTCTTTTTTCACAAAATTAAAAATCAAATCTATTACCTTTACATTTAAGCTTTTAAACAAATGAGTTACATTCAAGTTGTACAAATAAGTAGTCAATGTTTTTTTTTTTTTAAATTTTATTTTAATAATTTCTAGTTCTATATATGTGAATTTAAGTGGTGTTTTATGGAATTTGGGAACAGCACAGAGGTTAAATAATTTATTGTTTTCAGTGGGAATTGAAATTTTAAGCTATTATGGCGGGTTCCCCCCCAGTAGTTTTTTGGTAAGCAATTTGTTGACTCTGTTCTGCCTCTATTAGTAGGCTGTAATATTTTAAAAATATAATATTGAAATTATTATTTACCTTATCTACTTTTGTGATAGTAAATTTTTGTTTAATATCATGCATTTTGTGCTTAATTTTGTTTCTATTGATGCTGACAAAAAAATTTAAGCTATAAATCTGGTGTTTTATTTTGTTAAAAACTTCTTTTCATTCTATGAATTTATAACTTGGTAGATTTAGTTTATGTGCTATTTTGATAATAAACTCATTAAGGTCAATTTCAATATTATTAAGGCAGTGAAAGTGATTAATGTTGTAGATGGGGCTAAATTCAGTTCCTAATTTTATAAATTATTTTAACTGTTGATCTTGGACAATGTCTAAATTACCCATGATTATGTGCTTATGGTGTTCATTGAGAAATGCAAGATATTCTGGAGATATATTCAGATAACACAGTAACAAGCTGCAGTAGGATCTAGATTATGGTGGTTAGTTATCCAGTACTTTAAAATCTTTTTTATTATTTAAAAGATAGTATGATATGTGCGTTAATTGCTGAGAAGTGTTTTTGATTATTTTTTAACATTTTATGGAAGTTAATTTGATGAAGGAAATTTATTTTGCAATAATATTTATTTGTGCTTATTTTTTGTTTGGAAGTTTGTATTTACAAAAGTCCAGCACCAGGTCCTTAATAATGGACCTATTCAGCAATGTGCACAGAAGATAGGTTCCGCACAAAACTGCATAAATCGAAATATTGGATTTTGCTGTGTAAAACAAAGAACACAAACAAAATTTATTAAATGTGTATAATTTAGTTATTTATTTACATAAAACAAAAGTAAGACATCTTAAAGTAAATGAAGTTACACTTTGTCCATAAAACAACAAATATATGTATGTAATAGAAATGCATATTTAATTTATTTTACACTAGGAAAATATAAGCTCATTAAAAAATTATTATAAGTTTAATCACTGTCATCACTTTTATGAACTACTAGTCTTTTCTTCTTGATTGGTATAATGCAACTTTTATCACTTGAGCGTTCTTGATAAGATTCTGCTTCAATGCTTGATGAATTAGGGAAGATCTCAGATCGACAAGACTTTGTAGTGAAATCCGTAATAAACAAAAACCTAAGTTTTTTTTCTAAATTTTTGTAAACCTCCTCGTATTGATTTAAGCACTTACTAAGATCCCGTTGGAATCGGATAGCTGGTTCAACATTCGTGTCGTATTGTAAAAAATTATCACCTGATTTTCTTCCCAATTCAAGTTCTATGCTGATGACTCTTGCTATGAACACAACTGGTTCAGATTGCCCTTCATCAGAATCTTCAACATGTTTATTTGTTTCATGAATCATGTTAACTATCTCAACCTCATTTAGTTCTTCAATATCTGCCTGAGATAAATCCTCAAAACCTTCTCCTCTTATAGTTTGGGCAAATTTAGTGATCTGAGAATATTTATGCTTTAATCATAATCTAGTATCATTGACTGTTTAATCTAAGTATATGACAGTCCAACATGCTTAGCACAATTTAAGATTGTAAATTTCTTCCAAGCATCCATAAGAGTAAGAGATTCATCATTCTCCATTTGTTTTAAAATATACCTAAAGGTTTGTTTGATATACAATGCCTTAAAAGTCGAAAGTATTCTTTGATTCAATGGCTATAATAAGAAAGTTGTATTCTTTGTAAAAAAAGACAACTTTTACATTTTCATGTTGTAAGTCTTGAGAATGATTAGATGCATTATCAATTAATAGAAAAGCCTTAAAAGGCAATCCCTTTGACACATGCTTTCTTATTAGCCATCCAAAAAATGGGAAGGTTATTTATGTTTATTCCTTTAAATGAGTGTGGTGTTTTTGATTTGTTAATAACCAGTAGTTTCATTATATAATCATGTGAAGCATTGTAACAGAAAAGAATTGTTATACGACTTTTCACTACCTCATGAGCATTAGCTGATCTGCAAGCTTTAGCTAAATAGGTTCTTTCAGGCATTTTTTCCCAGAACAACCCGGACTCATCGTAAACTGATCAGAAATGTAGGAGACGGTGGCAATGATTGCAGCAAATTTTGCTAGATATTGTTGTGCTGCATCTGAATTAGCAGATGCACTTCCTCCTATCAATCTTAGGTTATGTAAAGAATGTCTTTGTTTAAATCTCTCAAACCAACCATGACTTGCAGAAAGAGATACATATTTTCATCTGATGAAGTAGATAGTGACTGATTCTTAACACTTTATCGACCGCTAATGGTTCAACAGTGTACGACGTCCGACTGGCCTCTCAGCCGCAGATTCTTCATGTTCTAAATAACTGTCAGGACAATCTGATAAATTGTCTAAACAAAACTCTCCAGTACCATTTTTTTTGCTTATCGTGAACAGTAATTGTTTTCAAAAACGGTGTTAAAATGTGGGAGTTCACGAAGCAACGCACTTAACGCAAGTGAGCAATGTACCTCAATACTAATAATAAAATGCAGATGATATAGCAAATGGCAATTGTTTATCGCCATGGCTACCGATTGCTAGGCTATTTTTAGGTAGCCCCAAGAAAAAAGCGATTAATAGGCTATCGGTCGATAGGTGTTGGCGGAAAAAAACTGATTAATAGGCTATTGGTCGGCAGGCGTTGCCTAAAAAAAGCTGATTAATAGGCAATCGGTCGGTAGACGGTGATGAAAAGCTGCTTAATAGGCTATCGGTTGGTAGGCATTGGCGATAAAAAGCAGATTAATAGGCTACCGGTCAGTAATGTGTTAAGTACTTTATAAACCTTTAAAGCCTTATTTGTAACAGTATTAGTATCAATTGGAATCCCATTTTAATTTTGGTCTTCTATCCATATCACTAATGCCTTTTCCATATTTTCCATTGCATCATCTCTTACATATGAAATTTTGCTCTTACTGCTGCAAGTTCCAGCTGCTACACTTTTTCTAATACAGTCTTCATTTTTTCTAATTGTCCTTATTGTGGCTTCATTCATGGAATAAAATTTAGCAACATCTGTCACTCTTTCTCTATTATGTAGATGACCTAATATATTAATTTTTTGTTTCTAAAGAAATAACTTTTCTTTTTATTTGATTTTTTTTCAAATCTTTTGGCATTATAAAATCTTAAAAAAATTACCTAAATTATAAAAATGCCACAAAAAATGTAAATGTTGAAAACTTACCAGTAAAACATTCAAATATGTAGATAAAAATGATGTAAGCTTTGCTGCTAAAATACAAATACTGCAATAGTTCACATGAACCAAATAGCTTTACTGTTATGAAATACATATACATACTACAAGGATTCCCCTTTTACAACATGGGGTATCCCCATCCTTGTTGTTGCCACCAGTGTAACCAAATGAATGAGATTCAAAAATGACTTCAAATATAAGTATTTGTGTATACGCAGAAAAATATGCACTTTTACCAAGTTTCTTAAATCTGTTAATTTTTAAACAGTGTAAAAGCGAAATCATGTCAATCGAGGGATAGGCCCATTTTGCTTTGGATATTGAAATTGAAAATAGTTGTTAATGAACACTTAATCAGTTGTTAATAAACATTATGATACACACACATGGAATTATCTAAAAATAAGGAAAGCACTCAAACTTAGTTTTCAATTTTGCAAGATCATAAATATAAAAGAAAAATATATATTTATTTTAGGAGAGGCAGTGCCTGCCACAAGAATATATCTTTGACTTAGCAAAGATTTTGCCATAAATAACAAAGATTATTGCATTCATTTTTGGAAATATTTACCAAAAGGAAAACAAGAAATTGTATTAGTATAATTCAGAAATAAATTATTTCTTATTAGACAGAGATCTATATTTAGAAAATTACAAAAATGTGAACATGATATATAAATAAGGAACAGCATGCCATGTTTCATTTATCTGTTCAAAGTTAAAAACACAATACTTCCGCCTTTAATCCATTATAATTTAAAACGTAAAAAAGGAATAAATAAAGAAATTAGAGAAAATAAAAATTTACCTTTAAAAATATCAATAATATAAGGCAAAGTATAATTCTGCCGCTTGCGTTTATCAACTAATTTTGAAATGCATTTAACAATGGCTTTTGCTTCTTCTGTCACATCATGCTGTATATAAACTTCCTAAACAGAAAATAATAATAATGATGATACTTTACAATAATATTAAAACTACAACCAAATTAGAAATTTATTTTGTGAATCCTATTTTACTTTAATATTTTACAGCCTATGATAATCTTCTTTTTATTTTTTTGCCATAGAACTAACAACTTCACATTTAGGAAACTAATAATAATTTTTATGATAATTCATGTGTATAGTTTGATCTAGTAACAATTTAATAATAAAGGTTAATATTCTTTCATTCTGTTAATTTACTGGTTATGAATATTAGAGTCTTTAAAAAAAATTTCACCATAACACAAAGGACATTTATCATCAGAAAGGATTCAAGAGCTGGGCTTAACAACAGTGTAAATGTATTGTTTATGTAAATTGTTATAATGTATTGTTTATAATGGAGACTATGATAAGTAGTACCTCTTACAGAGGCAAAGTTACTTTAACTATAGTATTTGGATAACATACATCAGTTAATAAAAAGATTGTGCTGACTTTTGCATCATTTTTGGTATAATGCTCATAGTTAAATATAATTTAAATTTAAAGATTAAAATATTTTTATTACTTTGCAGATTAGAATCTGCTACTCCACAGGAGTAAAAAGACATTAGAATCTGAAATACATAACATATTATGTAACCCTTTTAAACAGAAATCTTCACATAATCATTAATCAATAATGAAACTGCATGGAGGGTTTAAGTGCCTACTTAAAGCTATCAATTTTACCTTAAAATAAATTTCAGGGAAGCATTTAAGAAAACCAGAAGGAACGAGTTTTAATGAAAATTCAGTGCTTTCAAGACCTTGAAACTATAAATATTTTTTCTTGGATGAAGTTGATTAATCAATTATGGCAAAGCATGCAAGGATTGTCCATTTTAGAAGTGATACCTCTGTGGTAGATTCTCTACACAGTAGCTTAACTTCACGTCGCTCATAGGTAAAAACGCATTACAATATAGAAAAAAATATCACAAAATTTTTACTAAAGAAAATTTAGAATCTGCTACTGCATAATTAAAATTCTCATTAATATAGGGTATGCAAGGACTATCCAGGACAAACTACCAGTATTCAGTGCCCCCATTACTTGGCATTCATGGGCATGAAGAAATGGAAAGTATTAACAAACTCTTCATAGCAAATAAAGCAACAAAATAAATTTTAAATTACTGTTTTTCTTTATATGCTAACAATCCTAAAAAAAATAATAAATAAAATAAATTTGTATAGATAATATAATTTATAAAATTTTACAGGAAAACGTAGCATAAAAAGGGCAAATTACTTGAAAGATAAAAACAGTGAGCAAACACATAATTTTGTTTAGCATATTAATTGTAATACAAAAAATATTTAATTAAAAAGTCAAAATTCATAAATGAAACTTCTTTTAATCAAGAAGATGATTGCTTTTACAAGAAATAAAATGAATAAAAATAAATTCATTTAGAAATAAAAGTTAAAATTACCTTTGAATAGCAATTGTCACAAGCTGTTGCTGGATTATTCAAACAGAGTTGCTTATCAAAGATTTCTCCAAAGTAGCCAAGCATCCATACTCTTCGACAATCAGTTTTATTTTCACAATAGTGAACCATTCGAAAGAGATTATCAAAATGTGTACTTCTTGAATGTCTGTTAGCATCATCTTCTGCAAAGGGGGAAAAATGTAAATGTTTTTAATAACAGCTATAGATCTTTGAATAATCAAATAAATTTTTATAATGTATCTACAAATAATCTGACTTATTGCTTTTTAAACAATAGAAAACTATTTTTTTAAGAATTTATTAAAGTAATGCATTCAATATTTTTAACCTTTGTAAAATATTATGAACTGCTATGCCTCCATGCCCCCACCCCATTTTTTTTTACAATAATTCAAAAAAAAAGTATTAGAAATTTATAAATCATGTTTCTCCTGCTCTATCTTTTTACTTTGTTGACGAGGTTTTTTTTTTTTTTTCCCCTCTGAGTCTTTCTTTTATTCAGCTTTTGTTACAAAATGGCCCTGTAGTTAATCATCTATACAGATTTGCTTTGTCTTTCAATATAAAATGCAGCCTTAGCCCTGAAATTTAGCCTTTAATTTCTTAGACTTTTTACAACCAAATAGAATATCTCAGATCAGACATAATGAACCAGTTATCAACTAATTATGATCAAGACACAATAACACGCCGAATAAATACTAATTCAGAAGTCAAACAACAAAAATCAGCGTTATACCTACAAAATTTTCACAGGACTAGTTTCGATGGTTTTACCGAACCATCATCTTGCAGCTGAAGATGATGGTTCGGTAAAACCATCGAAACTAGTCCTGTGAAAATTTTGTAGGTATAACGCTGATTTTTGTTGTTTGACTTCTGAATTAGTAATTATGATCAAATGAATAATTTTATATATTTACTTCAAAATATAATGCAACAACTAACAGTGTTTTTTTTTTTTTTTTTTTTTTTTTTTTTTTTTTTTTTTTTTTTTTGTTAGTGCAATATAAGTGAAAAAATATTTACAGGAAATCTAAACTATCCAGAAAAGCAAGCAGTCTTTCCACCCCCAGCAGCATTGATTTCTAAAGAATTAGAGTTGGAAAAATCTCTTCTGCGAAAGTACTGTGTCATTCATAATAAATATTATTCTTACAGTGTTTCAAATTAAACTGAAGAATTTAGAGTTACATTGGACTAGGAAAAAGTGTTTAAATTATATAGTTATTTATTATAATATACAACTACACTTCTAAAAAGAAAGGTAATTGAACTGTTACATTTCTAAAGCAACGAGTAAAGAACAACTCATTAACAAACGAAAAGAAAGCTATTGGTTGATAAAATTGTATCTGGTAGTAGCAAAATAATTCATTTGCTTTCCTATTATAAGAGGTAATTTTAGCTCATAAATTACCACCCAAAAAATTAATTTTTTATAATGCAAGAGGATCAGTCTCTCCTTTTTTTTTTATTTACCTAATCTAGTTGAAAAAATTTATTTTTTCTTCAGCCTTTCAAATCATTGAGAACCCTGATGACACTGCACTAAATTTGGTAGAACAATTTTTGTTCATCTATTATGATTGTCTTTATTAAGTGCTTTTTTATTTTAGAACTGGCATTATAACTTTCATAATTCATGAAGGAACAGTTTTAATATTTTAAGATAATAGTAGAAATTTTCATAAATAATTCTGAAGTTAATTAAACTCAGATGAACTTATTAAAATGGATTACAAATCACTAGAAATTTTCAAATTTTCATTAAACTTGTAATCCACTGAAATATTACTAATTCTGATATGCACAGCACTCTACCCCTTTGATTAGTTATGCTATTATTAAATAAATTTGACACCTCTATGTCAAAGATACTCATTATTTTTATTTAATTGCATTTGTTTTGGACCAACTGATTTATATCATTAGAATACTTTTTAATAGCTAGACATTTTGCTGCTTTGCACACATTTTTCCCCCCAAAATTTATTAGCATTAAATCTAACAATGATAACCTTAAGTTCTTTGATTTTAGTTTAGAAAATATAAATTCATATTACTTTCAAAGGAATTCAATTAAATTATTTTTTATTATATGATTTAGATTAGCAGCTTATGTTTACTTTGAATTCTGAGCCAATGCTAATAATTTTTCCAAGTAAAATTATTGGAAAAATTTTCACTGAGAAAATATTTTGGTCCACTTCCTTCATAAAATAATAAACAAACTCCTAATAAACTTTATGCTTAGCAAATTCAAGATCAATATTGCTTATATCCACTTATATATATATATATATACACTGGTTATCATAAAAATAGCAATAACTCCCTCAAAAATAAGCCAAACCGTGTAAAATTTGAATATGTTGCCAAGTAAGAGTAGCTGAGTAAAACTTCAATATGCAAATTAGTGGCGCTGCACTCGGAATACGTCATCTGCGAGGAGAATAAAAGTCCATGTTTGAGAGCAAGCCCACATATTTCACTGTGATAGTGACATCAGAAATGTGAGATGGCCAATTTGTAACAATGACGTCCAGGCATCATTTGCCTGCAGAACCAGGATGGAAAGCCATTGGGAGACTAGAGGCAGGATAAAGTCAAACAGAAGTGGCCAGATGGCTAAATGCGATCCTTCTGTGGTTCATAGACTTTGGAAGCAATTTCAAACCACAGATTCGGCATCTAGGAGGTTCAGCCAAACATGGCCAACTGCTATGACGAGCGCCGATGACCGATAGTTGACATTATGTGCACGCAGAAATAGAACCGCTACTCCGACTCTTCTTAGATCCTCCCTTGCTGCAGCCACCAGAAGGTTCATGTCAACGTCAACTGTGCGTAGAAGGCTTCACGAAGGTGGTCTGTATGCAAGGTGACCAGCCATTGTGTGCTGCTCACGTCACACCATAGGAGGGACCGTTTTCAGAGGGCACGACAACATGTCCACTGGACGCCTGATCAATAGAGGGCGGTTCTCTTTACGGATGAGTCCAGGTTTAGTCTGGAAAGCGATAATAGGCGTTATTTAATATGGAGAGAACCTGGAACCCGTTATTATCAGTCAAACATCCATTAAAGAGATGCATATGGAAGAGGCAGTGTCTGTGTTTGGGGTAGCATCTCTTTGGGTGGATGCACAGACCTCCATGTCTTTCCAACGGAAACCGTGAATACTCCGGTTTATAGAGATGACATCCTTGATGCTTATGTGCGCCCATGTGCCGGGGCAATTGGTGATGCTTTCCTGTTACAAGATGATAACTCAAGACCACACAGGGGTCGCATCATATATGATTATCTTCAACAGGAAACAATTATGCACATGGAGTGGATAGCTCGATCCCCAGACTTGAATCCTATCGAGCACGTTTGGGATGCTTTAGAGAGACATCTAGCTGCTCTCAAACCGCCCCCTCACACTCGCTTCCTATGGAACTGATAGACCTCATAATTGAAAGCATCATGCATCGCTGTATGTGCTGTATTGCTCCTAGAGGCGACCATATTCCATATTGAAGGTACTTTTCTATAGCAAACTGACACCTTCGATTTGTTCATTTTATACATGTGCTAATTACTATACTACCATAATTGTCTGGTAATTTGTTTTTATGTTATTTGATACCTTACTATGTGCTGTATATTGTGGGTAAGTTTCATAAAATTCTACATGTAACTTTTTCAGTAATCGTGATTTTTGTAGTTTTTCCTTAATTTATGATAACCAGTGTATATATATATATATATATGAAGTTAAGTTAGATGATAATAGCTATGCAGGAACATTTTTCTGTGAAAGCTCTCAAAGAAACTGAAGGGATAATGATTTATAAAGATTCTGTTGTATTTGGATAACATTACAGTGAAATTTAAAGAAAATTCTTCTTACTCAATATCATTCTTTTTATTCGATGCATATCTTTATAACAATAATACAAAATGCACCATGAGGTTTCCCCATCTCTACCAGCTCTTCCAGATTCCTGATAATATCCTTCTATAGACTTTGGAATTGCATGATGAATCACAAATCTTACATCAGGTTTGTCAATTCCCATACCAAAAGCTATTGTAGCGCAGATGACCTAAAATATCATTATGATTAAAAATTTAGTTATAAGTAAATTTAAATTGTAACATTTGTAATTTTTGGAAAAGGACAGCCTTAAAGTGCAGTTAGTTCAAAATGAATGATGGAAAAGAAAACATCACTGCTACAATAAATTTATTTCACAAATACAAAAAAAAAAAAAAAAAAAGGTTAAGTCTCCAAGTTTCATTTGGCAACACTGAAAGCCTGTCATTTTCAAAATGTTCACTAGAGTTACAGATATTCAAAATGATATAATATAGTAGAATATGTAAATACCCTTTAGGGCTTACTTAATTTTTCAAATAGTTAATTTTATTTTGAAACAAGCCTTTCATTTACCTTCTCAATTCCCACCTACATTTCCCTGCTAGAATGAGTTTCCAAGATTTTGATTTATGTAAATGAGGTGTAAAAACGAGTATTTAAGTCTGGGTAACTTTAGTAGAAGAGTATATGACAGTGTGTTCTGTCTTTCGGCCATATTGTTAAATGCCTGGTACTATATGCTAGTGATCTTAAATAAGGGCCAACTCTGTTAGTTAATTTTCTGCACCTTTGGCTGATTTATTTTAGTTTATTAGTTAGATTAGTTTAATACTTTCTATCTTGAGTTAAAACCCGAGTGAAGGCTTATTGTAAGCCCAAGAAGGGGTCACCAGTTCATTTATTTTGAGTTAAAATAAAGGGTTTAACCCTTCTTTGGATTTCAAACTTACAAGAACTCAGCAATTAGTTGTTACACAGTTCTTCAATATTCTACCTCTTAAGTAACTCTAATTCAGCTAGGATATTATAACTTTATAAGGACCCACTGTTCAGAGAAATTCCAGACCAAATTTGCTAAATAAATATCGTAACATTACACGATAAATGAAACAGCATAAGTAGACAGGCTGCTTATGGAAGGAAAAGAGTACAAGATGTTTATCTGTAAACAAGATGCAACTTCTCCACAAAGCTCCAGCAAGTCAAAGAATCATGCTAACAGATTACTTAATGTGTTGCAAGTAACAGTGTGGTGCTTGTTACTTAATCTCTACAATTTACAAATTTTACAAGGCCCAGATGCTAAAAATTATCAGTAAACTCAAATAGAGAGCTTTAGCATGAATTTGCAAGCATAGCAGAAAATGATTTTTTTCTCAGACAGACTTTTGTTCACTTATGAAGCCACATTTACTATATGCGACAAGGTAAACTGGCACTATTTGAGATTCTGTGTGTGTGGGGGGGGGGGGGGGCTGCAAGCCACACTAGAACACGAAATTGATTCCTTGAATGCAGATGTTTTTTGTGTTATACCTGATCACAATATGTTTAGACATTGCATTTTGTTGAATCCACCATTACAAGGTTCACCTACTTTTGTCTAAATGTTTTTTTTTTTTTTTCCATTTGGAAGCACATTTACCAAACTTCAATTTGCAGCAAGATCGAACTCTACTCAACGGCATAGACACAACCAACTTTGTCAACACCTTTCAGAAAACAGGACTGACCATACCAATTTGATATGAGAGTAATGTTTTAATCTTCATGCCATCCAACTAGCACTTTGCAATTTCTCCTTTAGAGATATGTGAAGAACAAGGCATTTGTACTTCCACTTCCACTTCCACACGAATTAAGGCAGTTAAAGCAGCAGATAAGTGATACCATTTATGGCAGAAACTAGATTATCCTGTAGACACTTGCCATGTCACAAATTGTGCATATCAAAAATGTGTGAATGTTGCAGAAACTTGTAGAGTTATTCTTTCATGTGACATCAATTTTTGCAAAATAAATTCAATATGACAATCACAGTTATGTTTTCATTTTGCACTACTCATTTTGAATAATCCCATATTTTTCAATCAAGCTATTTATACCTATGAATAGGATATTTCACTTTTGTTTTAATCTTTTAACAGACAAAAATGAAATAATGAATAAATGAAAATTTTATAGAAAAATATTAATTACCATTGAAAATATTTTTATATTAGACAAATTTTACATTAAATTTTGATGATGTAATTCATAATTTAAGCCTTGGCAAGGCTCCTGGCCTGGATTCTATTCCAAATGAAACTATAAGATACTTTCATCAGCTTTTCCCTGCAGTTTTTCATAGATTATTTAATATATGTTTGAATCTTGGTGCTTTTCCACGAACTTGGAAGAACGCCCTCATTATTGTGATACCCAAGAAACAAACTTTCAGTTTTCCGCATGTGAATAATCTTAGGCATATCTGTCTTCTATAGGTAAATGTTTTGAAAAACTAATTACTAACAGAATTACTTGGCATCTACATAAAGAAAATATTCTTAATGCTGACCAACATGGCTTCATTGCTCAAAAGTGTACTGAGGATGCACTCTGCGCCTTAACAACATATGTTATGATATTATTGTTAATATACAGCAGTCTCTCAGAGATCTGGAGAAGAAGGGTATTTCAGTGTTTTTTACATTTGTCCGTGGTCATTCAAATAATTATGGAAATGAGAGAGCTGGTTGGCTTGCTAAGAATGCAACTAAAAATGATATTAATGTTGATGCAAATATTCCAAAATCTTATTTCAAAAAAACATTTAAAGCTAAAAGATTGAGCAGTGAAACTGTGGTTATATCTCTTCTGATAAAGGATCTGTTACAAAAACATTCTTCCCAACTATTTTCGAAAGACTGAGTAAGGACTTGTTGCTCAATTTTAAAGTTATGCAATTTTTGTCTGGACATGGTAAGTTTAATGTTTATCTTGAATGGTTTAAGCTGACGTCTTCCAGAGTTTGTGTTATTGCAATCTTAGCGTTCAGCAAAGTGTTTTCCACCTGCTTTTTGACTGCCCATTGCATGATAAAGCAAGAAATGTATTGAAATGCAGATTAAAATTAATTGGAATTCATTGGCCGGCGAAATGTTATGATTTTGTATCTTCAGCTTCAGCCTACCGAGCTTTCAACAATTTTGTTAACTTTTATTTTAAACATTGTAAATGATTTCTTTATACATTTTATACTTTCGTATTTACTTTTTTTTTTTTTGTGTGTGTGTGTTTTCTTTGTGTATGATTTCATTGTAGTATTGAAAATTGATGTTATTACTTACAACTTTGCTTTTTTTTTTACTTACGATTTCTAAGTCTTGTGTGATACTTTGTGGTGCACGAGGATTTCTTTTTCTTCAAATAAAAAAAAAAATATTACATTATATTTTAGCCTATGCAGTGCATTTGCAAATATTTTAGTTCTGCAATTATTCAAGCAGCTCAGTTCTTGTAAATGTTAAACTCTCAGAAGAAAAAATAATATTAAATAACAATTAAAATTTACAGTAATATTTTTACCTTATTGTTTTTATTTCAAGCTATATATGCTTCTAATCAGATAAGTACTTATGCTCAGAAAAATAACAGATATAATATTTATATTAATGCATCTAAATATAAAACGTTTCACTGGTATCATTTTGTTTGCATAATCTGCTCATTGTTGATGCAATGAAGATTTTCTCCCTCCCCTACATGCTTTCGAACATTTCAAAAATATATTTTATATTTAAGTGCCGAAATTTTATATTTTACATAAAATTAATGATTAAATCATTATATGCAATAAAATTTAAAATCTCTCCTTACAGTTTTCTTACTCTTGTTTAAAACTGATTTACTGTCACCTCTTTTGTAGTTGCTATGTAAAATGAGCTAATGTAAAAGTCAAGATTTTATAGAAAATATTTAGATAATATTTATATACTTTGTCACATAATTATGACATGGTTATATATGGTTATGATATGTCACATAATTAAGACAGAACTATGAAGTTATATAGGGATTTTAGGAACTGGTTCATTTAATGGGAAAAACATTAAGTTGAAAATTAAACTCAGGGCAAACTCAAGAGTTTTGTTCACTTTATTTATGGCCTTTAATGAATAATTCTCAGATACTGATAGGCAAGATTAAATCTTCTCTTTATTATCTTCAGAGTCTTTAAAAGAAGATCAAAGCAGAAATGGAAACTATTAAATGCTTTCTCTAAAAATTTGGGTGTGTGCATAAGGATTGGAAAAATGATAGAAAGTCTTTGTTGGTAATAGCTGAACCTATCAGTTAAATACCCCTCTCTCATCATTAAAAACACTGCATGTGTACCATCTATAATAGACTGTTATTGCACCTGTGAGAAGGGGAGGAAGATACAAAAACACAACTGAGTTTAAATGGAAGCTAAACCCACAGGCTTGGTTTTGGGCTAGGCATCAGGCTCCTCTAAATATTAAACCTTCCAGGGTGGCATATCATATTAATACAACATTAAAAAAATTACTTTAAATCTGTCATTTATCCAGAGTTCCTGCACTTCATCTCGATTATTGAGGCCAGCATGATAAGATGTTGCATTGATTCCACTATGGTTCAATTCATTAGCGACTGTGTCACAATCATTTCTGAAATGGATTATATAAATAATATAGAATATAAAAGATTCATTTAATCAATAAACAATTAGTTCAAAAATAAATTTTAGAATATTTAATGAATTATTCATAATTTTAAGGAATAGGATATATTTTTTAAATTAAAAGAAATATTTTCAAGTACTGAAAAATTGCATACCTTGAAAGACAATACACTATTCCACACATGTTCTTAAACTTTGTTTTGATGAGATCTATGATGTCTGAAGTTACATTTTTGGTTTTCAATCTAACTTCATATTTTAAATTTGGACGATTAAAGCTTTGAAGGAACCTGAAAGATTCAATTATTTACAACTGCATTCATATCAAAAATATATTTAATATATATATGATTTTTCCAACCAGAATGCTATAAAAATTGATATTCTTGTATTATGACATGTTCCAAGTAAAAGAAGAAAAAACATTTTTATTGAATTAATTTATTGGATATTGGAAATTAACAAACTATGATTTATTAAAACACTGCATGTGCACCATAGATAAAAATTCCAATTAAATAAAATTGAAAAAATATTTGTGCTTTATTGTCAATAAGGTATGCAAAAATCTCTTGTTTGCAATTTTCATATTAATTTCTCATTCTTCTTAACAGAACATCGAGCAGCTTTGAGGTCAACAAATCTCACATCCCCCCAAAAATTTCAAAATTTAGAAGGATTCCTGGTGGAATTTAACAGCATGTAATTTATACTCCATCTGAACCTGGCCCCACCACTTGCTGAATTGTTAAGATTGCTGCATACTGGGAGTTTGATTAGTTTTTCATCCAAGTGAAAAAGCTGGCTGCATGGTTGGTTTTCATAGTTTTCTCCATTTGTAATTTGAACACAACCAGTTTCCCATAGAGAGTCCTCCAAGAAAACATCCTCACTAGTGAGTTGAGAAGAAAGTTATGAGTTGATAGAATTGATATGAGATGGATAAAATACTTTCTGCAAGCGGAACAAAGATTATGCAAATGCTTCTTCAGGGTTCGTACACATTTCTGCACATGGAAATTAAGTACTTTTAAGAACTTTTAAAGACAATTCATGAAACAAATTAATGACCTATGAGTCAATGGGAACTGAATAAATTAAATTAAAAATATTACATCTATGCTCTATGCTTGAACTTCACTTTTTAATACCATCCTAAAAATAAAAGAGATCTGTAAGTAGAATGCATTATTATTAAACATAACTTAATTAACATAATTATTAATAATACATTTGAGAATAAAATAAATATTATGAAATTTATCAAGTAGCATTAAATATTTTACCCTTATAATAACTGGACATATTTGAAAGAAGATAAGTGACATTTTAGTTATGTTTTTCTAACAGTTATCTTTTTTTTTTTTTTTTTTTTTTTTTGTCTCATTTTGTCATATACATGCTCAGTCTAGAGGTTTAGTAAATAATAAGTAGATTTTATGTCAAGCAGCATAGGTTAAAATGAGCATTAAAATCATAATCAGCATGATTCATAACAAAAGACTGGCTGTTGTCACCGCTCCTGCTTGCCTAGAGAGAGACCTGCTGATCAGAACAAACCTGACAGGCCTGATGTAGGCACAGTTAGCAAGTTTTGAAAGTTAGCTGAGTTCTTTCTGACACAGTTAGTGTCATAACTTCGTGTAGAGTTCCAGGGGTTGTAACTCAGTCTTTAAGGTTCTATTAAGCCACTAAAGCATTAGAGGTGATACCTTGTTTTGCATTATTTTAAGTTTCACTAGATGCAAAGAATAAATTTTACATGAAGTTTTATATTTTCGTATTTTACCTTGCGAGTACTGTAAAGGTTAATGAAAGGCAATAACTTGTTTTAATATGCAAAGATAATTTTTAAGGGTAAACATTTAGTTTTAAGTAATTAAATTAGATATTAGATAACCTTAGTCATTATGGATTTACATGGGAACTATTAAATTAAAATTATTTTTGAATAATGTTTGTTAACAAAACCTATTATTATCACAGTCTAATAAAACTCCACAGTTTAAAATACATGCAATTTATGACATTGATTTTTAAACAATATTAGGATAATTACACATTAAAAGCTACCAAACATTTATTTAGTTTATTAGTTATTTATTTAGTTTTGTTGCTACAAAACATACTCAAATAATTATGCATCTTTTTAATTTGAAGGCCTGCCCAGACATTTTGGCTAATTTATATCGATTTTCTTCTCCTTAAGCCCCTTTTCTAACAATTAGAAATTTGTCTCAATATGCAAAACAGTGTTCTTATTAGTTTCTGTGTGTTTTATCTCCTAACTACCAACCTCTCCAATGTACTACCTGTGAGGGTTTACTTGATCTGGTAAAAGTTAAATAGTCCAAAAACCCCCAACAGACGTGAAACAAATTATCGCTATGTCAGAAAGTAACTACAAATCAGAGGCTTAAATAAGCTCCTTATTCAAAAAGAACTTAGAACATAAAGGCATGTTCTTATGCTAACAAAATGAATTACAGCTCATGGTGATGTAATTAAACAAGAAGAGTCATATTCAAACTAAAAGTATGGACTAGTGGTCAAAGACTATACAATTTAATTTCAATTTAATCTGGTTGAGTAACTCTATCGTCGTAATAAACTCAAATGTTGGCAGTGGTAATGGGAAGACTAATAATTACAAATTATCAGAGCTGACAGGAACTAATGCAAGCAGCAAGTGGAGGTCAGAAACACACTTTTGTCTTACACTCCAAAAACTGCCTAAGTGATTTGCATTCTGGTGAGGAAATAGAAACAGGAAATAATAGTAAAGGCTGAAATTGTAAACAACTGGGTAATTTACATAATAATAACTGTACATATCTTTGAAGAATAATTTTCTTTCTCTTTACATATTTAGTTCCTTTCCACTTTTAAAAGTTTTGGATTTAATTAAAGATTTCTGTTATTCTAAAAGACTAAATGCATTTAGAATGTATGGAGAAAGCTGCCGATTTTATTTCTTTAGTAATACGAACATTCAGAAGAAATAGATATAGTAAGGTCCGGTCACAGAGGTAGTGTGCCATAATTTTTAGAATTTAGTGACACACTAAGCAACAAAATCTAGAAATGGCAAAACTTTTAGAATTTAGAGCAGGCATTGGAAGCAGAATGTAGAAAGGCACAAAGAAGCAGAATTTAGGATCCACAGAGACGTCAGGTGGCAAAATACCTAGCCCTGTGTATGATGCATTAAGACATACTAGATGAATCTTTTGAATTGTCAGTTTTCAATTTCTTTATTAATAAAAATTCCTTTCTATAGTTTGCCTCTCCATATGATAAGATTAGAAGCATTTTTGATATTTTCCATGCTTGTGTCTGGTGAAAAATAGAGAAAATAAAGGGAAGATAAAATGTTAAGAAAGCGATTCTAGTATCAGAAGTAAAACTTTCAACTATTACATTTTTATTGTTCTTTCAGATGTTTTCCAAAAAGTAAGAAATTATGTGTTACTATCATGGAGGCATTTTTCATTTTGTCACATTTCCTGGAATCTTTTAGAATCATGGGTAAATTTGCTTCCAAATCTTTCTAAACTTTCTAAGCTGCAATGTCTAAAATCCTAAAGAAAAAATACCCCTACCAGCTATTGAAACAGCCAAAAATGTTTTAGGAAAAAAAAAAAAAAAAAAAGAAAAAAAAAGAAAAAAATCGGAGGAAAAAGGTATGAAATTAGTTTTTATAGAGAGAAGTGATGCATATTATGAGAAATAGGAAAAACTCTTACCATGGAAAAATTAAAAAGAAATTTTCAATTAATTGCATAGCTATTTTGTTTTTGCTAAAAACTGTTTTGTAAATTGTGCTTTATAGCATTATACCTTGCTTATTTTTCAGATTCAAAACTTTGTATAATATGTGGCCAAAATTGAACTTTATAATATGACAGTGAAAAATAAAAATGCTTTATTTTAATGTTATTTCTTAAATATAATTTTAATATATTACCATTATTTTAATGAAATTTATCAATGTTAATGTTCTAAAAATATCGTCAAATAATTCCCAGATCTCAGAATTAAAATTTTCTATAGAAACCGGTCTTAAAATCACCAAAATGTTCATAAGTCGCTAAATTTACAACCGTTTAATAAAAGAATTCACATCCCCAAAAGCGGAAAGTTGTTTGAGAGCTCTCCATTACAAAAAATTAAATAATTTCGAAATGCTTATGTTTCACTTCTTGCTCAGAAACTCGAATATCCCACCATTTATATTACAAATTATAACCCATGTACCCATTCAAAAAACAACCATATCTGACAGTGAATCACCAAAAATATTCCTGCAAAATGCTAATTCACACTCAAAATGGCAGTCGTAAAAACAGACAGAAATTTCAGATGATTAAAATTAAGGACCTTCTGCCGATTTTGGCTGAAATTAAGGTATTTTAAGAACCAAAAATCGATTCCAAAAAAACTTAAGAACTTTTAAGGACCATAAGAACCCTGTTCTTTTAAAGAAGGGTAATTTTTTATGTTCTGTTTAAAACAAAAAAATTTTATCTTAAATAATTGATTATTGATTTATGCTTTTTTTTTTTTTTTTGAGAAATGCTATTATTTTTCCCGATTTTCCCCGAATATTTTTCATTTCTTTGATTTTCTGTGAGCTTCCAGGTATTTTCAGGTGAGTGGGAACCCTGTAATGCATAAATTTACATAGCATCAAAAAATAATATATCAATTCTCTATCAAATTATTTTTCTTTGAAGAAATTCAAGCCCTCTCCATTAATGTTAGGTTATTTGAATATGGCAAAACACACAAGGCCTATCTGCTGGAGGGTAAGTATGCCTCTACAGAGGACTTTTTAAAGAAAGCCTGGCTAGCATTCACATTATACATGGAAAAAATCGTGAAAACCAACTATGCAGGAAGCCCTTTCGCTGTGATAGAACTCGGGTTGAATTATCAGTGCATCAAGGTCTGGGGTCGTGATTTCAAACACCTTCTTTAATGACGATTGTTGTTGGTTGGTTTCTGCTGTACTAAACATAATATATCATGTTTTGTCACACTGTCTTCTTCCTTTTTTGTGTTGTCACTACCGTGCCCAGAAAGCGTTTTTGACCATGCATTGCTATTTTCCATTGTCTAGGTGTACTCTCTCTCTCTCATGAAATTTTTTTATTGGTTTGCTGAAACACCCTTTATATATACTTTATATAACAAAATTCAAATACCATCACAACAAGAAAAAAGGAGGGGCCTTCAGATTTTACATTACGACCAAAAAGGTGTTTTTTAACATTTTGTGTATTACCTTTATTGATTAAATATCATGTTCTTCGCACTTAAAACACATAGAATTCAATTCAACAGTAATATCACAAAATATTTAAAAACAGCATATCGTTAGAATTTCCAATACACAGTCTTGCATGCTGGAGATAAAAATGTTCTTTCTGTACAGTGTTGCCATTGGTCATTTCGAAGTTGTTGAGTTTGTTAATCAAAAATTCGTTAAAGTTTTACAAAATTTCAAATACATAATAAAACAAATCTGAAATTCAAAATTTGGGCTTCCAAGTGCCCATGTTCAGTTGGAGGACTACATTATTTAAAATTTGATGGCTCTAGGTACCGTTGTTTCTCTATAATGCAGGAAACATTCATTGCATTCATGCAGATTCTTCATCATTTAGTTTCTTTAAATATAAGACATGGCGATAATATTTGGTGGTAACAGTTCAAAAAGTAAATTGATGCAAAATGCCCTTTGTCTAATAATAAAAAAACACTATATGAAATAACTATAAAAATATCAAATATAAGAAAATAGAAAAAGTATTTATATTTCCCAGCATGTGTCCTAAATATTACAACCCTAGTTGCATTCGATTCCAATGAACATTGAATGACTCTGCCATTTTGCTCTTCAGTTCAATTTAGCAAATATGTAACTTTATTTTAATTCATTGCTGGCCTTTTTACTGTATGATAATTACGCACATTTTTAAAGTGTCATATATTTTTATGAATTTATTTTAGAATGATAGGAATGCATAAAACTTACTCTTATTTCTTACATTTTTAGTTCATCATTCTTACATTGTTTTACTATGAAAAGCAGCAAATGTGTCAGGGAATGGTCTTTTTAATGCATAAATATTAAAATCTGTACTTAAATAATTAATTAAGTTTTGTTCTTGGCTTGTATTTTGAATCAAATTAACCAACTTCTAAATAGTTGCTTAAATATCCCCTTAAGATTTGTTCTTAACTAATACTTTGAATCTGTTTTAGTTTAATATTTTCCTGGTTTGTTATTTTACAATTGGTTCTTGCATATTAAGATGATGGAACACATTTGCTTCTATTAAATATTGTTAATTGATCGGAAACTAGTCTGTTCCCCATGAAATTTCTTTTTAATAGCCATTAAATTTCTGTTTAATAGCAATAATTGATTCATTCTTTCATTTCAGAACATTTTCTGTTTTATACCGTTTTATTTTATTTGCTATAGACAATACCAATAAAAAATTTTTACTTAGCATTAAAGTTCACTTTTTATTAAGCTTCCTAATTTCCTTTCTAATAAATTCATATATGCATGTGTGTGTATGCAAAGTTATATAATGATCCTTCACATATGGCAATTAGGGAACATACTATGATTCTGTTTTCATTCATAGCTTTGTAGTCACTCACTACATTGAACTATAATAGATTCCTCTATTCTTTTTAGAGAATAGTTGAAGAAAATGTGTGCCGAATCCAAACTCATCAGCAAAAATACACTGTTGTACAAATTTAGATGTTACTTTCATGCTTCCAATTCCAATTTATGTATGCCTTCTTTTCCATAATAATGAGGGAGACACAAGTAATTGGATGTCTCATGTAAAGACCACTGAAACTCAATTTTTCTTGATGAAGAGTTATAAACTTTCCAGAAAATAGTCTGACTTATGACACAATGCGGTTAGCGAAAGCCAATTATATTAATTGCACAATGTCATAAAAGTTGTGACACTTCAGTGACCTTGCATTTGAATTTCTTTATAATAAGATGAGATTTTATTATGAGCATCCTGCAGAGACTGAATGAAGGCAAAACTTTCTTGGAAAATATTACATTCAATAACAACAAGTCTATAAATCATCAGACTTGTCAAGGATGGGTTTGATCCCCTCCTGTAAACATATTAATGCTTCAAATTCATCAGTTAAAAGCATATTAATCCAGATTAGTGGATGATAGGTTCTCCATTCCTTCCTTTGATATAAATTAAAATCTGTTGTCCCCCCTTCCAGAAAACAATTCAGAACTCCGTTCAAACTTTTGATTGCATGTTACAATATAAAATTTTTAAAACAGAGAAAAGACAAATTTCAAATTAATAAGAATGGATTATGATTTATAAAAGTATTGGGAAAAAAAAGTTTAAAATGAGCTTTTTTGAGATTCAAACATTACAATTGTTAGCACACTACATATTTGGTCTGTTAGTTGCTCTAGTATTTCTTAAAAAAGAACGAAAAAAAAAAAAAAAAACCGAGTAGAATAATAGCATAGTATACAAAAACATCTACTCACGAACACATTGTCTTGACAAGTTTATGTACAAATTTAGAAAATGCTTGAGGGAACACATTTTAGTAAAACAAACTTTGAAGTCAACTGAGTCACATACAGGTATAAGTAAATCTATCAATTACCAGTGGCCAAGTGTTGATTATTTATCAATGCTAAAAGGCTATTCTTTCTTTCTCCCCCTCCCCACTGTTAACAAGATGCCATGAAGTGCTAAACATAAATGTCAACATACAAATCGTCTATTAATGATACAAACAGCCTAATGAAACGAATCATTATGTTATTAAATCTAGTCTTCACTTCATAAACTTTTCTTTTTGAGGCTAAATCTTTGAATGCAAAGCCATTTTGATGTTTTCACAGTAATAAAGTACAATCTTATTTTGTGCTTTTTCAAAAATAGTCCTTCAGTATGAATGATATTCCACAATTCATTTATCTTGGAAGAGTTTAATCATGGACTAATTATCATTTGGCAATAGCCAAAAATATTGATTCTGTTCTCAAAAAGAATCTAGGAAGGTAAATTAATGGGTTCTTGCTTATTCGCAATGACATCATTGCAGAGCTATTTATGATGTGACATAAACAGGCAACCACATTTGGTTGGTTTGGCACCCAATTATGATTTGTGCCTCATAAACAGAAAAGAATGAATTAAAAACAGGAGACAAATAAAGACTGGTTTAAACATGTAATAAATCTAAACAAAACAATTTTACTGATGTAATGGTTTAAATGTTTATTTTGTATATTTTTATAATTATGCATAACTTTTGGACACTTCTCTAGTAATTGTGTAAGTCTTCTAGTGTGTTTTAGGATAAGACTGTAAACCATACAGAAAGACGAAGTAGTGAACTCTCACTAGGTCTCGAAAGAACAGATGACTTCAGAAGAAGGTTTTAATAACCTTTTTATTTTAACTAAATTAAAAGAAATGCACTTACTTGGTGCTCACAATTTAACCACCACTTGTGGCTAAGTAATTTGAATAGAAAATAGTATGTACAATCCTAACAAATTAAAGTACCCTATTGGCTCTAAACTACTAAATCGGCTGCACACAGCAAAGCCGAACTCAGAGTATCAATATAATCTAAAGAAAGTGACTAGCACCAACTATTCAACTACAAAGTGACTAAATTAACCATGCGGCATAAATTCAGAACTAAGTCTCTTACCGTGAACTCTAAAAACTGCTGCTTAAATACTATTTCCATCTCACTTAAATTTGCATATACGTCATTAAATTTACATTCTAGCAGGAAAACGAAAATAGAAGGGAAAGAAAAGTTTCTTAAACTAAAAATAATTGGTTAGAATAAATTAAGTTCTTTACAATTGGTACTCCTAATATGTAAAAATTGATGTGCATGTCTAACAACTTCAAAATGACAATTAAAAATAGAATAATTAATTCATTAAACAGGTATTTTGCAATGAGTTCATACCATTTAGGTGACTTCATGCCCAGCTGATGCAAAATATCAAATCGAACTCTCTGAGTTGCAGTTGCTGTAAGAGCCATCATGGGCACATTTGGAAATTTTTCTCGTAACATTTTTAATTTCTTGTAATCTGGTCTAAAATCGTGTCCCCACTATATAAAAAGATAAACAGTAATTAAAATCAATATAATAAATATATGATTAGAAGATTTAGGAATAATATTTAAACATCTTTTACCTGGCTGACACAGTGAGCTTCATCTATGACAAAACGCTGAATCATTTCTCGATTGTAAAGATTTTGCAAGCAGGATACTAATTTTGCACTGGCACTGATCTAAACAATAAAAATTAGAAAAAATTAATAATTTTTTTGAAAGTTTAAAAAAGCCATTAAAATTACTTAATTCATTAAACAGATTAGAACATATTAGCTAACTGGATCCATACCTCATATTTATTCATATTTAAATACCTTATGAAAAATATGCACACACTTCAAATAGATGTTTAACTATATTTCAGAAAGATATGTTTTTAGAAATACATCTGTATCTTTTAAAAATAAAATAAAATGTTACATTTCACAATATAAATGATGTCTCTAAAATATTATCATTTCAGAATAATAGAGAGAAATTAAATGATAAAAGTGTTAACTGGACAAGAATTAGCCAAGTATTTGATACGTTCCTGAAACATATCTAAATAAACTTAGTACAAAATAAGTCCATATTTATTTCTGCTAAAATGCTTTTTTAAAATTCATTTTTAGCTCTTTATTTCTAATTAAGAAATATAGATCAAATTTCTAATTGAATTCACTTGAATACTTTTCATCTGAAATAACAAATTAAGAAAAAGGTTTACATAAATGAGATAAAGTCCAAAACAGAGAGATAATATTCATAAAATCTTTGCAATTAAAAGTAATAACTGAGAACTGACAATTTATATTAACCAAAAACAAGATGCAGGTTCATTAGGATTTTTTTTTCCTTATGCGAGGAATGTGAAAAATGTGCAATGCCCTCAGCAGGACTCTAACCTGGACCTCTCAAATACACACTGTGTTACCATTACACCACGAAGGCATGCTAGAAGGAGGAAGAAAATACCTTATAAAGTCCAGTGTCATAGTAGATGTAAACAACTTGAAATTTGAAGAAATAACATAGCACTTTGCTTACAACATTTCAAAAGAATTGTTAAATTTGAAAATGTTAAAATTATTGAGATTTAAAATTTTTGTAACTGATCCTTAATTAGTGAATCAACTAAAATTAAATGCCACCAACAGAAAAAATACATCATCTTTCCTGAATAAATATTTCAAAATTTCTAAAGAATTTAAAAGAGAGGAGGAAAAGAAAAAGTGCAGATTTTATAAAGCATTTGTTCCAGAGCTTTAAGATAAAAACAAATGATAGGCTAGGCAATTGGTTCAAATAATTCATTAGTTCCCAGCCAAACTAATAACACCACCAGGAGGTTTTCCAAGCTGAGAGTCACCTCTCACCTGATTATGGCACATGAACAGTCAAGGTTTAACTAAGGTAATGAAAATTTTCAAGTGTCATTTTTAACCCCCTCCCCCTAAATATTTAGGAATAATTTCTCCAGTTCTTAAAATTCCTAACGTTTAATTTGCTGGAATATCTTATATAACTTTTTAAATTAACTCAACTATTATCTTTTCTAAATTACATGTTCTTTAACGGAAAAAAGAAAACAGGAAATGGCATTTATTAGAGTAAAATTAATAGAGGCCAAAATGATGAAAACACTAAATGATATGAATCTGCATCTCAAAGGACAATTTATGTGAAAACTATATGAACCTCTATTGTTTAAAGTATAAAATAATTTGAAAATTATTGGCTGGCTCTTACACTTCGTTAAAATCCACAAGCAGCAGTTTTGTATTGCTGCTTGTGGATTTTAACGAAGTGTTGTGGATTATTACATGATGTATTGAAAATTTTATTTATTTTTATAATTTTTTTATTAGAATCTGCTACTCAAATATTAGAAGGAATGATTTTTTTTTCAGGATTTTTTTAAAATTCATTTGGAAAGATATTTATTTTTACATAAGTGAAGTTTTCTGCTGGTGGTAAAAATATTCATCTATATTTATGCAGCTAAAATTCTGCTAGATAACTAAGATTCTTGTAATTGAAAATTAAGAACTTGACTTTGATTAAAATATTGCTATGAATTAGAATATCATTTATTTTGTAGAAAGTGGAATAAAACAGAAGAGAATTTGTTTGCTGTATTCACCTGATCAATTAGTATAATTTCAAATAAATCCCATATGAAGTAATTTGATTGAAGAAAAATTCAACAAAAGAAGGAAACGCTTTGACATAATCTAGTAAAAAATAAGGAAATGTTTTAATAACTCAAGTAACACAATTTTCGAATTTACTGAATTCAGTTCTCTCACATTTCATTCATGTTTTCCAGTTTAGGTAACGTAAAGGTATTTTGTTAAGCAGTGCTCATATAACTGACAATATAATAGTAGTACTTGTTATTCTGAATTATTCACTAAGCAACTTTAATTCTTAATATTCTTATGAAAATATGATAGTGTGAATTTGCAGGAAAAACTTATACAGTCTATATACTAGAAAAAGCAATATATGTAACAGATTCATAGTATATTGATGATAAACAGTCTTGGAAATCATAACTTATCCATAACCTCATTTAACAGTAAATAAAACATTATTTAATTCTCTTTTCACCCACTCATCAACCCATGCACACATAAATACCTGGCAGTATGCTTCAGACACATTAGAAGTGAGAAGATGTGATTCTGCTTAATATGATGTTATTCTGTTTTTATGATGCCATGAACAGATATTTTTTCTTCTTAGTTCATTTTATGAGTTATCTTTGTGTTAACTATTTTTACGCGTTTTCATCATTAAATTACAAAATATCACTACCGTTATCATCAACAGGACTGAATACAACTACATCCTACATATATGTAATATAACTAATATCTTGATGACTGGTCGACAGCTACATGTATTTAGGCAAATGTTTTACTGCATAACTTGAATTATGCATAACAAAGGAGAGGCTTGCAGACAAAAATGGCTGTAGATACAACACATAATTTTATTTCTTGATAAAGCAAGCCTTGAGAATTATAATCAGGTTCACAAATTATCACGGGTGCAATAGGCAACTTACAGTTTTAAGAAGCTTGCATTTTCAGATACTGGACAATAGATAGCAATTAGCCACAACATGTTAGCACAGTAAGGGAAAGTGGGAAAATAAGTACACATTCAGCAGCAGAGAGAGATATACAGACTCAGTTCTTTGTTGAAATTTTGATCTGTAATTTGATAAGATATCCACATTGCTATGTATTGCATAAAATGGCATGATGCAGATTAATTCTGAGATGATGCACTTTAGATTCATATATTATAAATAATCAGTAGTTTTAGGACAGGAAGAGGAAGTAGCCTAATTTAAATAAGAAATAAAAGAGGCTATTGCAAAATTAAAGCTAGCAGTTTTCCTTCATATTTTATCTCTTACATATACTATATACAAGTAAGTTAAGACATAGTAATAAAATTGGAGATGGCTAAATAATAAATGCTTGCAATGAAGATTGAACACAAAATATTACCAAGAAGTAATGCTGATGATAATATCTGGAGTTTCTAAAGCTTGAACAAACATTAAATGTTACTAAAATATACAAATTCCTATTAAAACAAATATAAGAAATGCAATTAAAAATACAGCTTTGGCTTTAAGCTTTTAAAAATAATATGACTGATATTAAGAAACAAAGATAAATTAAGATAAATAAGAAATAATAAGGCATGCAAATATATATAATATTAATAGATATATATATATATATATATATATATATAATGTGTCTAGTTTAAAATTTCATTTATGTTAAGCAAAAATTTATTACCTTTTCCGGTGTTACATATAATAATTTAATACTAGGCTCCCTTGATGATAACTGACAGTAAACAGAGTTCGCAGAGCCAGCATCAGCATCACCAGTTAAACTGCTTGCAGATATCTGCACAAGATAGCTCAGAGTTAGGATATTATTATTATTTAAAAACAAAAATAAATAAATAAATAAATGTAACTTACATGAAAACTGGTGAGATCTGTGCATTTTATAGTATTTGCATACTTACTACAGAACTGTTTACAATATTTTTTCCTTAACTGGCTTCTTTACAAATAAAATTAACGAAATGTGCATAAATTAAACTAAACAATATCCCTAGATAGCAATCACGTAGTATGCTATCTACTGCTTTTAATTATTTATTTACTTCTTTAGCTGGTGGCATTAAAACATTTTTTATATGAATGTACAATAAAATAGCAGGGGAAAAAATGATTAAAACAACCAATTTCAGTGCTACCATCTAATAATAATAATAATAATAATAATAATAATAATTAAAAGTCCCACATGAATACCCACTATACTTTATATACTATATTTACGAAGAATAATATCATACAAGCAAGAATTTATCTAGATGCTGTATCTTCCTATTCCCATTTTCAATATAACATATTTGCCGGCATACACACTTTTTCTTTGAAACTAGGTTGAAAAATGGGGTGTGTCTTATTCGTCGATATTGTGTCTTATATGTCGATACTCAGTTTTTGATTACATTCATTTCTGAAAATTTTCTCTATTTGCAGTTATGCAATTTTTTTCTTGTTTCCTTGCAGAGTGTGGGAATATTAAAGTTACATAGAGTTCAGTGAATGTGCATGCGCTGCCAGCAGCATTCACAACTGGGTTTGTTTAAACTTTCAAATTTTCATGAACGACTTTTAAGTGTGTGAAATTTCTACTGTTCAGTTTTCTTAAATTTGTTTCTTAAACATGCAGAGAGTCCTGATTTTTAATTTCACTTTCATACTAAATAAAATACCTCTTTTATCAAAGAAACAATTATTTTAGCATAAATCTGAGTGATCAACAATTTGACAGCTACGATATAGCTGCATATCTGCTTGGCATACATCTCAAACCGAAACATTTTACATAAAAACACTACTGATTTTCCACCAACTAATATTTTATACATCTGATGCCAACCTAGCAAATTATTAATTATTATATTTGGCTTTTATCACCGCATGTTCATCAGCACATGATGACTTGTGTAATGACTCTGCAGTGATGCTTAAAAATTTTTTTTTTTATATTAGTAACTGAATAACAAAAATGTTCATGAGGAAAAATTTAACAAAAATTTCTTTCCATATGCTAAAAATAGATTTTGTTAATCATCATATTTAATGCCAAAAGATTACATTTAGTGCTATTTGAAATAAGAGTAACTAATTTGTTATTTTTAATTCTACACAGAGACGGTGCCAGAGCTCGCATGTCTATACCGGACGTGGAATTTATGCAAGAAAAAATTTTTGGAATTAAAAGATGCACCCAGCAACAAAATTAAGGGATGACAAAATTTTTAGAATTTAGGGAAAGCACTGAAACTCAAACTTTATGAGCAACAAGCATTTAGAACTTAGGGAGGTGCTTGATAGCAGAATTTAGGACCCACAGAGACTGCATCAGGCGGTAAGATATCTAGCGCTGGCCCACAATAAGCTTTACGTGTATGTGGAAATTTATTTATTCAGGACTCAGATAAGCACTAAGTATGTGCAAGAAATAGACGTAAGTATAATAAATAACTAAAACAATACACTTCAGGCTTAATTGTCTCAGTGCACAACAGAAGCAAGACAAAATTTAGTGAAATAACTTATCTTTTGCTGCCAATATCATGACAGCTGATACACTCAAGCTAATACTGAAGTTGCTGAATAATTTGCAGATGAATTTAATGAACTCACCAATAGTGAAAAGTTATCCAACAAATTTACAGCACTGATGAAACTGGCCTTTTCTGTTAATATGTATCACGAAATACCTTGGCAAACTCTAGAGAAAAGGTTTGAACTGGTGTCAGAGATTCCAAAGCGAAACTAACAATTTTAGCGTGCACATATGCTGCAGGAATGCATAAGTGTAAACTTTTCATAAATGGAAAAAATATATAACCTTGAGCATATAACAGAATAAAGATTTTCCTCGTTACATATCATGCAAATAAAAGAGCATGGAAGACACAAGCGATAATGAATGACTGGTTTGAAAATCATTTCAGAGAGGCTCGGCAACATTTGAATTCAATTGATTTACCTGAGGATGCAAAAACTATCCTGATTGTAGGCAACTGTTCAGCTCATACTTCACTTAAAGTTTTAGTGAAAGATAATGTATCTGTATTATTCTTTCCTCCAAATTGTACGCCCATCATTCATCCTATGGATATCGGAATAGCGCACACGCTGAAATGCAAATATAAAGTAGCATTTTTAAAGTCCAGAGCAAGAAGACAACTCAAGAAGTTTTAAAATATTTTAGCATAAAATCTGCTGTGTGGAGCACCACAAGATTATGGGAGGACGTATCTGCAAATACTTTAAACAATGCTTGGCATAATTTAGGGAAAGCTCACCTTGAGAGGCTGACGAAGATGATAGCCATGATTTTGAAGGTTTTCGGATATTGCAAACCAAAGGTAAAATTTCCCAATTAAAGGATTTTGTAAAGAAATGTAGAGAAGCAGTAATAAATGAAGATGATATAACAGAAGTTTTTCAATGAGATGAAAATGTACCAATCATCAGTCAATGAATGGATGATAAAATCTAGATCATGAAAATACCGTTACCGACAGTGAAGAAAGTGACAGGTTATTGGAAACAAAAAAATTTCCATTGACAATTTAGTTAGAATTCTCAACAAGGATTGAACAATGTAACTTTTGCAATGCACTTTGTAACTGAATAAGAAATCAGATCTATTAATAGAATTAAAGAGAAAGTATTAGACAAAAAACAAAGCAACTTAAACAACTTATATTGAAAGAAACGTTTAATAAAGTAAACAAATAAAATAAATATTAAGCTTTTTTTTTTTTTTTTTTTTTTTGTTGTTGTAAATTTTGATACCGTTTAGATCAGCGGTCGTTAAGCGATGCTCCATAAAAACTTTTTGATGGTCCGCAGAAGAACTAGGACATCATTTATATTTTTATGAAGATTCAGTTTAAAAAATAACGAGTAACAAAACCTATTATGGAATATGGATTATACTTTTTTTTTTTTTTTTTTTTTTTTTTTTTTTTTAGCTACTATTTTTAGTGAAATTCCTTCTGTATTTAACAACATTTTAGATACTTTTGCAGGTGTACCTAGCGACATTTGAAAGTGAGAGTTTGGCATCCATTGATATGCTCCTGTTATCAATAATAGCATGAACTGGAATTCTCTTTAATTTTGAATTACAAGAATATGCTGTTGTAGTCATTAATAACACAGTTTTTCTCTGTGTCAATAGGCAACTTGACGGATTTTTATGAGAACCATCTGCATTCTTGTTTATAATTGCGTCACTGCTTGTCCGTTTCTGTTGATTGATGGCACCATTGTTGAGTGAGCGATGATTATTATGTTTACAATAATTAAAAATTGGTGGCATAACGCTTCCAGTTTATTGATATTGCATTGCGTTTACCAGTTTGTTCTTGTTTTTCATGAAGTTCCTTTTCAGTGATATGGAAATATGAAGCTTTCTGTACAAGAAGGTAAGATTTTTGTACTTTTCATATAATTTTTCAATCTGAATGAAATATGTGTATCAGTGAGATGTTAATAGTGTTTTAATTGTTACTCATAATGAAGGGCATAGCCTAAATTTTCATAAAGGCATGCTACTGAACAGCAAATGTTTCGAAAATTATATTAACAAATGAAAATTAGAATTACATGTATTGGAAAGGTTAAATATTGTTTTTATGTATTAATATGTTGTTTTTAAGGTCTGATTTAGGGTTTTTTAAAATTCATATTAGTGGTCTGCCAAATATAAAATTATATATGTAATGCTCTTTTTACTGACCATTAAAGATTGCTCTGGGCTTCTTGTAAAGCAGTGTTTTTGAATCTTTTACAGTTGTGAATTGACGAAAATATGAGCAAATATTTTATAGGCTGGCATTAGCCAAAAATAATATATATATTGGTATTTCATTTCTTAAATCTAGTGTTAAAAAATAAAAGTTTCAGTTAGTGCGATATTTACTGATGCTTATCTTTTTTAATAAACTTGTTAAATGTGGTTACAAGTTTGTCTCTGCAAGATGAAGTGCAGCATTAATATCCAGTTGATTTCTTTGTTTTTATTAATGATACAGCTGAAAAAGTTTTTTTCACATAAATAGGAAACTGAAAAAACAACCAACAATTTGATACCTTTATAACAGAGGCATATTCTTTATCAAAAGATATCTAGAAATGAGATGACTGCATTTTATGTTGGACGCAAATGTAACATCAAGGTTCGTACACATTTCTGCACACAGAAGTTAAGTACTTTTAAGGACCATTAATAAAAAATACATTAAGGACCTATGAGCAAATGGGAACTGAATAAATTCAATTAAAAATATTATCTATGCCTAAATTTCACTTTTGTAATACCATCCTAAAAATAAATAGATCTGTAAGGAGGAGGCATTATTATTAAACATAACTTAATTAACACAATTATTAATAAGTTTGAGAATAAAATAAACTTTATGAAATTTATTAAGTAGCATTAAATATTTTACACTTATATTAGTTGGACATATTTGAAAGAAGATAAGTGACATTTATGATTTACTAACAATTAGCTTTATGTTGAATTTTTTTATGCCTCATTTTGTCACATACTTGCTCAGTATAGAGGTTTAGTAAATAGCAGGTAGATTTTATGTCAAGCGGCTTAGGTTAAAATGAGAAGTAAGATCATAATCAGCATGATTCATAACAAAAGACAATGTTGTTTCTTTCTGCTGCTTATCTAGAGAGAGATCTGCTGACAGAGTTCGTACACATTTCTGCACGTCGAAATTAAGTACTCTTAAGGACCATTAATGAAAAAAATTAAGGACCTATCAGCAAATGGAAGCTGAATAAATT